TCCCGAACTGTTTTACGTTAAAAAGGTACTCTTGTTTCAAATCGTTATCTTTAACGGTTTCTGAGAAAATCGCTCTTGAATTAATCCCACTTTGGTCAATTTCATAGTAATTTAAACAAAATTATCAAGGTATTCTTATGTCAAAGTATTGTCAACCCGATTGCCAATTTAATAGTTCTAAGCGAAAAAAATGGAAGAGTTTACGGGACAAGAGTTAGTTGATATGATATTTATTTATGGCTTTTGCGATGGTAATGCTGCAGCGGCAGAACGCGAGTACGGGAGAAGGTTTCCAAACCGAAGGCTGCCATCAAGGAGGACATTCCCTACGGTATTCCGCAACTTAGCTGCAACCGCCACTTTTCGAAAGGCACCGGGTCAAGGACGTCCCAGGATTAATAGGGAAGCGGAGGTCCTTGACGCTATTGAACAAGATCCTACGACTAGCATACGGAACATTTCAAGGCAAATAAATGTTCCTCGGCCAACGGTACTACATATCTTAAAGATTTCCTTAACAGAATTGATTAGATGTGCTACTAACATTTCAGGTTGGAAGAATATTAAAGCGACAAGGTCTACATGCCTATCACTATCGACGTGTACATGGCTTGATACCAGAAGATTTTGCGCCACGTATGCAATTTTGTCGCTGGATTTTGTCGCTGGACAACGAGCAAGCTTCCAAAATTTTGTGGTGTGACGAAGCTACTTTTACCCGAAATGGAAAATTAAATTTTCATAATTCTCATTATTGGGAAGAAGAGAACCCACATGTTGTTCGGAGAACAAACTTCCAGCAACGGTTTTCCATAAATTTATGGGCGGGAATAATTCACGACACTCTGATTGGACCTATTGAAATTCCACAACGTCTCAATTCAAATCTTTATTTAAACTTACTTCAAGAAAATCTTCCCCAAATTCTCGATGATCTGCCTCTAAATTTACGACGTAACATGTTTTTTCAACACGATGGAGCCCCGGCACATAGTGGTCGCAATGTTCTAAATTTCCTAAACGAAAATTTCGCTGGACGGTGGATAGGGAGGCACGGACCGGTAGCTTGGCCGCCGCGTTCTCCCGACCTAACCCCGCTGGACTTCTTTTTCTGGGGATATCTAAATCAAAAAGTTTACGCCACCGAAGTCGATACCCGTGAGGAATTGCTGCAGCGTATCAATGATGCAGCCAATGAAATTCGTCAAAACCGTTTTAGCATCTTAATAGCTTCGAGAAGTGTTACACGTAGGGCAAGACTTTGTATCAGAGAAGGTGGAGGGTTTTTTGAACAGTTTTTAAAATAGCTTGTTGTCTGTTATCAAAATTAAGTTTCCATCTTATGATCCCTTCGAAAAGTGACGGTTGCAGCTAAATTGCGGAATACAGTGAGGAATGTCCTCCTTGATGTCAGCCTTCTGTTTGGAAACCTTCTGCCGTACTCGCGTTCTGCCGCGCAGCATTACCATCGCAAAAGCCATAAACAAATCATCATATCATAATTGTTCTACATCAATAATGTGTATTACTGATTACGTATTAAATTATTATTATTATTTTTTGTTTAAATTACTATGAAATTGACCAAAGTGGGATTAATTCAAGAGCGATTTTCTCAGAAACCGTTAAAGATAACGATTTGAAACAAGAGTACCTTTTTAACGTAAAACAGTTCGGGAAAACGGAATTTGCTGTCCAATTTGTTAAAAAGTCAAAGATGAAAAAGTTACACACGCAAAGTACCAAGGGCCCCCCCGTACCCACTCCAATGGACCTTGTGGAAATAAATGGATTAGTCCATCAAATTGCTCATCAAAATTTAGCTGTGTATACCAAATTTCATTCATTTATCACAACGCGATACCTTAATCACAGAAAAAAATATTAAAAAAATAACCTTTCATTTCAATATATTACTTCGTATTCGAAAAATACGACCTTGAAAAAATAGATACACTTACATACCGTTAGGAAAAGAATCTCTACAACTTGTATATATAGTGTTATTTTTTTAAAACCTGACATAGACCAACTTTTTTATTTGAAGTAATAGACTAGTACTTCTATATGCAAAGTTGTAGGAAATAACTTGATTAAGAAAAATTTACAAATAATTTTTCCGGTGTTAAACAAATTTGATTTGATTGAATATTCACAGTTATTCTAATTGTTTATAAGTACAAAAATTCGACTAATGTTTAAACAAGCGCCAGAGCTCTCCTAATTGACGGATTCAAATTTTTCAAAAAAAGTTTGAATGCTTGCGAACCCTTCTATATGCGATTAAATTTTCAAATATCTAAGGGCCTTGGTTTTTGCTGTGCAAAATTTTTAAAATGTGCAAATTTTTTTCAAAATCTGGATTGCAAAATTATTATGCAAAATCTAGCGAACCGATTTTGATGAAATTTAGTGTGATATTTCTACATAACATGTTTTCTTGAGCTAAGTATAAAGGTCCTATACCCAACTTAAATATACCCCAAAGAAAAATCCCTAAAAAGTATTATTTTTTAACCCCATTTTTGCGATTTTTTCGATTTTTACCATAATCATGATTCATTCGATTTGTACCTAGTCATATTTTGTAAAAAATTTAATTACAAACATTTTTTTCCTCTTCCATTTTTGCCTAAAATGAACTTCTGAAAAGATATATAATTAAATAGGAAGAAAAATATGACATTTTTCGAATTTTTTTAACATATTGTGCCGCTAAAAGTTAAGCCCACGTTTTTTTTATGCGCATAGAAAAATTTTCATTTTTAGTGATATTTGAAAGCCAAAAAGCCAAAAGTCTCCGGGGATATACGATTCACCCAAATATGGCTTTTTGAAACAGATACCGTCTCGACTAATTAGAGTAAGTAACTTATAAGAAGCTGCAGAATTGACATAAGTATCAATGTTATTAAAAAATGTGTTTCTTCCATAACATTATGTTGTTATATTTATGTAGTTATTTATTTTGTTCTGGTTAGTTATATTTATTTTCTGTTATCTTAATTAATTGATGTTTTACTAAACATTAAAATAAATGAAAAACTTGCCAAATTATATCACACGGGTTGCTGAACTCTGCATAGGTAAAGTAAAGTAATAATATAATAATATGTCATTTTAAAGTGCATGAAGAATTTATGATGAATTCGTATTTGCTTCAAAGGAAATTCATTGATAATGTACATCTAATAGAATTTTCGCTTTACTTCCACTATTCCACTCGTTGCATGCCGAGTACAAAAGTGCTAGTAATCCAAAAATGATATATACAAGGTGTTATGTAATCTCTCGGAAACGTATAGAGCAGAGGTCGGCAACTGGCGGGCCGCGGTCCAGATCCGGACCCCCAAAGTAAGTGTAACTTACTTAAATAAATAATTTAAAAAATATTTTTTTACGTTTGAGTGTCACACTTCATTTTTCTAGTATTTTACAATTGTGTGCGACTGATTTGAGTTCTTAATGGTTAGTAAGCAAATTAAAATAAAAAATTAGTAAGAAATATGATTTTTTTCTGGACCTCGTTAAAAATTTTCAAAAGCATCCGGACCCCACCTAATATTACTTGCCGACCCCTGGTATAGAGAATGTGAAAATAACAGTAAAACTTCCTATAATTATTTTTTCCTAATATTCCTCTTAATAGACGTATCGGGCGCCCAAAGGGATAACTTTTAGTTCTAACTTTGAAACCGCCTTGTAAATTTTGACAAAATTTAGGTGTAATGTATTACAGATAATTGATGATTCAATGTTAAAACCGGTTTATTTTTTGTTGCAAGGTGCAAAAGCAGACGAGTCCCAATACATATATTTTTTTTTTAATTTTAACAGATATACTATCAAACTGAAAATATTTTTAGATACCATGAGACTTCCTTAATAAAATATAATCTTCATTTGTTTCTATAAAATAAATGGTTTCCGAGATAAATCGTTTTTTTAATACGGGCAGCTACAATTAAAATTTATTTTTTTGCAAATTGTTTGAAGTATTTAGTTCATTTAACTTTACCAAGACCAAGTTCAAAAACTTTTAAAAGAGCGAATAGCTATAACTATAGCTTAAGACGAACAAGTTTAAAATAAAAAATAATCATTTACTTAAAAAAAAAATAAAAAAGGAAAACTAAGTGTTCAAAGTCAACGCCCATGCACTTTTTAATTCTACAAGTTGGATTATTATCAATCTGTTAGTTCTGTGTTATTCTCAGCAAAAGTTCTTTTCTAGACTCCAATGTCCATGAGTAGTCCCATAAAATATGAGGTGCATAATCGTGCATCTTTTGAACATCCTAGTAGTATTTTAATTTGGTTTTCTTAAACTATTATAAATTAAAGATTTTAGAACTAAAATTAAGTAAACTAAATACATTAAATAATTTATAAAAAATTAAACTAGTTATTGCTTATCTTGTATTAATTGTTTTTACTTTTGTTTCAAAAACCAATTTATCCTGGGACCCTTTTCATTTTATCGAAATAAATGGACTGTTTATTTAAGAAAAATTCTTGGAATATCTAAAAATAATATTTTTAGTTCGACAATATAACATACATTAAATTATCAAAAAAATATTTATTCATGGACACTTATCTGTAAATACAGTACACCATAATTTTATCTAAATTACAAGGAGATTTAAAGTTAAATCCAAACACTGCAAGCAGTCTCTAGGTACCCCTTTGGAGCCTAATATCTCTGTTAGGAGGAGCATTAGGAAAAAATTGTAGTGAGTAATACTGTTGGACACCCTGTATATTTAATTTAAACTGAAAACAGGAACGGCTGTATCGAATTATGTGATTACTCTTGTGCAGTATACTCATTAATAATAAAAATATGTAGTAGATAGATGCAAAGAATTTGAAACTGTTTTAGCTTTATTTTTGTGGTCACTCTTAACAACAGCGAGACTTATAATATATTGTAGTAGTAGAGTTTGGTACTATTCACACAGATTTATTCAAATATTAACATATTACCTTAAATTTAGCTGCTTCGTAAGAGTCCTGACAGAAGATTAGGTTCTAGTGAAAGAGATGCAGATGATGTAAAGAAGCAAGCATTTTTTAGACATATCCATTGGGATGAATTGCTACATCGAAGGATACCACCACCATTTGTTCCTACTATTGTAAGTTTTGAATTTTATCAATAGCGCGGAATTTTTTTTTAAATAAAAGTACTTGCCTACCAGCTTTTCTATGACTTTGATAAAACAGAAACTGATAATACATTTAAAAAATGCCTTTACTAGTAAAAACACTTTGTAAAAGGAAATATTCGAGAAAGGGTATTTCTTCAAGGAAAGGACTCCGCACACACCTTGTGGTAATTGGTCTTTCTGTGAAATTTCCTGAAAAATGGATTCTTTGGTTCCTTTTTTATTACTGGTCAAAAATCTTCATGGCCACGAAACTCTAAATATCCATCTGGAGGCGGTAGGGCCCACAATAGAGTCAAAAACAGTGAAAAATTGATTCACTCTAATATAGTTAACATATAATGTAGCAAATATAACTTTTTTAACACATAATTAATTTATCTTATTTAACAATAATTAGAAATCTGTGAAATTCTCTCACAAATAATGAATAACGACAATTACCGCTGACTTAAAATAACCCATATGCGTATGAGGAGGTTGTCAAGTCCGATTTTGCACATCATTTTACCTTGAAAAGGTCAGTGTAAATCTGTATGTTTATCTGATTTAGTTGATGAATTATACTAACAAATTATGGGATTAAAAATGTTAATTTGATAAATAAAATATTAACGATTTTTATTTATGCTCGGTATAAAGTCAATATTAGATATTCATCAACAGACTTGCTAAATAGTGTTTATGACGCAGGTGATCCGACTTCCACAAGTAAATCCTAATGATCCTCAACTGATTCAAGGTTAAGAAAACTACATAAATCTCTCATTGACATTATGCATAAACAAAAATCCTTAATATTTTTTATCAAAATAACATTTTTAATCCCATATACACCAGGAAAATTAGCGAAAATAAAAGAGAAACTCGAAAAAATTCCTATCCGCGATATTATTGTAAAATTGTCTAAAGGAACATAATACAAGACATCTCTCATCTCGTGAGTCAAACAATTTTATTAGCTAACTTTTCTATTTAAACAAATAAGTGGAGAAGACAGTTTTTTCACTTTGCTGGGAAAACCATCAATTTTAGCAAAAAGTAGTCACAGACAGCTTGTAGAGAATAAAATTATCTACAAAATGAGACTTGTTAAATTAAAATCAGTTAATAAACAAAAAAGTTATTGCAAAAAAAAACAAGAAAAGTGCCCATTTTTTAGTTTGTTTATAACTATCGCATTTATTGTTAAAATTTTATAAAACCTATGACAAGTTGAGGGTTTTGTCATACTTTAAAAGTGTGCCAAAAGTTGGCGCTGTAGGTGCAATAGTTTTTGCACAATTCAATTTGTTTATAACGGAGGCTTAAAAATTTATAAACTTTAAGCCTCTGTACAGGCGTTAATTTTCAACCAAACATGATTCTGAAAGCATCATTGTAATCTTAAATACGTAATTAAATGACCTATTAAAAAATATCACCGTTTTTTTGACATTAACATTCTCAAATTGTGCATTAAAAAACCGTGCGTTTTTCGCTTATAAACAATTTGAATAAAATTGTTGCTATTTATGCTACCTCACCGAAAATAGCTTCAATGGATAGCTGGCAAAAAAAATACAACTTTTAAAAAGTACCCTCTATGACCAACAGGAGCCAAGATAAGAATTTTTTTTTTTTTAATCAGCGCAATTGTTTATAAACATTAGGACTTGAATTTTTCGCAAAATAAAGTTACGACGTAAACTACGATTTCCCGTGAATTGCATTGAAAAATGTGGAAAATTAACGACTCACGAGCCCTTTAAAGAGAAGGTACTTGCTAAGTAAACTGTCCGGCGTGGTGATGGAGAAAGTTTGTCCAATCGAGTCGCGCGCGCGAGAAGAGTGAAATCTAAAGTTCATATTGATGCGCGTTGTAAACTTTGCAATATCTTGACTTCTATTCAACATAGAAACTTCTTTTTTTTTTAAATTGGGGTAGCCCGACGAAAAAATAACAATCGGCATATTTGCGAATTTGTAGAATAGCCCTGAACCCCAGAAAAATAATTTTATAATAATTTTTTTTTTAATTTACAAAAATGTCACAAAAATTATTGTTAAACGAAATATTAATTCAAATTTCAATTTCGGAATTATTAAATAAATATATGAAACTATCATTCATTTAAAACGTTTTTTTAAGTCAAAGAAAACTTATTTTTTCAATATTTTGTTAGTTATTTAATTACAATTTAAATGTAAAATTAAAGTAAAAATTCATAAATTATTTTCAAATTATTATTTCTCATAAAAATAGAAAAAATTTTAAATTTTAAATTGTATTATATTGCATTATTTATATCTATTATTGAAAATGGTTGTGATTAATATTTTTTGAATTAATTTTGATTATGTTTATAAAATTAGTAATAAATATAATAAAAAAAACTTTATATATTAAAATTTCAGGAAGTTAAAATTGTAATTTTATCGACCGCGTTATTTTTAATATTTTTTAATTTTGAGAATTTTGCAATAAATTCAAATGCTTTTTATTCTTTTTTAAATCTTTTAACAATAAATAATAATTTGAAAATAATTTGTGAATTTTTACTTTAATTTTACATTTAAATCGTAATTAAATAGCTAACAAAATATTGAAAAAATTAGTTTACTTTGGCTTAATATGTAAAAAAATAACTTTTTAAATGAACGATAGCTTCATTTATTTATTTAATAATAGTAAAATAATTCAGAAATTGAAATTTTAATTAATTTTTCGTTTAACAATAATTTTTGTGACATTTTTCAGGGCTATTCTACAAATTCGTAAATATGCCCATTGTTATTTTTTCGTCGAGCTACCCCAGTTTAAAAAAAAAAAAAGAAGTTTCTATAATGAATAGAAGCCGAGATATTGCAAAATTTTACAACGCGCATCAATTTGAACTTTGGATTTCACTTTTGTATCGATTTGTAATCGCTTGGACGAGCTTCCACCACCACCAGGCCGGACATTTTACTTAGCAAGTACCTTCTCTTTAAAGGACTCGTGAGTCGTTAATTTTCCACATTTTTCAATGCAATTCATGGGAAATCGTAGTTTACGTCGTAAACTTTATTTTGCGAAAAATTCAAGTCTTAATGATTATAAACAATTGCGCTACGATTTAAAAAAAAATCTTATCTTGGCTCTTGTTGGTGGTAGAGGGTGCTTAAAAAAAAAATTTATTTTTTTGCCAGCTATCCATTGAATCTATTTTCGGTGAGATAGCATAAATAGCAACAATTTTATTCAACTGGTTTATAAGCGAAAAACGCACGGTTTTTTAATGCACAATTTGAGAATGTTAATGTCAAAAAAACGGTGTTTAGGCATTCTTAAAAGGGTAATATTGGTTGCCTGCAATTAAAGGAAAATAAATACATACCTATCTCCATACCGATATCAGTAAATAGGTAAAAAAGGCAGTCTCGAAGCAGACACGCGATGCCTAGTTTTGCCTAGTATTGAAATAATTTGAATTATTGTTGCTGATTGTTATTAAGAAATCATCCCATCTCCCTCCCCCATCCTATTGAGTTCTCCAGTGATGGACCAGAACCCCGATTTGCCCAAAGGTGAGTCCATTAATATTTTTTTTTGTTGTTAATCCATTTAATTTTTATACAGTCCGCTATTCGCCGAAACATTGGTTCCTTCGAGCCGAGATTGCTTTGTTAAGTAATTATTGTTAAAAAAGTACCTAGCTTAACAGGTAGATCGTAAACCTAGTTTACGATTTACATTTGTTTAGTGCCCAGTTAATTGTAGGAGACCAATTTGCCTCATTTTATTGCCATTTTTTCTCGAATTTTGATACCGAATATATATTATGCCTTTTTTTGTATAAATTATAACCGGTCATTGTGACTTTGATATTTATATACGTTTCTTATCTGCATTGAAGGATTGCCTTAGGTAATATAGTAGTTTACCAGTATTTCCAATAGTGTTGCATTATATTGCCTCGTAAAGAAAACTTTTAATTCGTTAAAAATAAAAAGTAACCGTTCGTATTTGCTTGTCGTTTCGTTTTTTGCATCGATGTGTAGAATTTGAGGTTTTTGTATTTATTTTGTGTATATACCTTTTCCAATAGATATTCCCATTAAATAATAAGCATATTATTTTTGAAATTAAGTCATTTATTAGTTAGATTAATTAAATATACCGTGAATTCAAGAGAGCCTATTACAATAATAATATTACCTACCTACATGGAGTTTATTATACATTTTTGTTGCTTCATATTTTTTACAAGTGCAAATAAAATACCAAAATGTCTAAATCAACCGAGGAATTGAAGCTAGATCGCTTACGTTCGAAACGGGAAAGGCTTTTCAGACGGGTCCAGTTGTGTCATGATGCTGGAGAAGCTGTTAAGGCAGATCCAGAAAATGCACAAAAATTAGAAAATTTTAAAATCCGCTATAATACATTTTCCGAAACCATTTCCGAATATAGAAATTTAATCGATGATATAATTGTTGTGAAACAACAAATAAAACCAGATGAAAATCCATCGTACAGTATCCTTGAAGCCGTTGAAGATTTAACCGATCGTATTGAAATTATTGAATACATGGCATCTTTATTTATTAAAACTCCGATTGTACCACCGAACGCAAATAATAGTAACCAAAATAGTCATTCTCGGATTCATATGCCTAACATTGAACTTGTAAAATTTGATGGATCTGATATAATGTTGTGGCCGTTATTTTACAAAAATTTTAAGCAACTAATTCATTCTAGAACCGATTTTTCTAACGCAGAAAAATTACAGTACCTGTTAGGTAGCATCTCTGGTAAAGCATTAAAAATTTGTAGTAACGTTGAAACGATTCCAAACAATTACCCTATTATATGGAATACTTTAGAAAAAACATATCAAGATAAAAAACTCTTGTCGAGTGTGTATTTAGATAGAATAATAAATTGTCGTAATATATCGAATCATAACCCCAGTAGCTTACAAACATTTTTAGAAAAATTTGAT